CCATTCTGTAAGGTGTCTTAGAAGTTGGAGCTACCCCTGACAATAATTCAATAGAGAATTCAATTTTCCTGTCAAGCGGTAATCTTAGCAATTCTTCAGGGAAAACGTCGGGAAATTCTAAGATAATCAGAGGGGTATCCAAATTTATCTCTTCGTTCCTGTCTTCTTTGATATAGGTAAGAAAGCCTTGACACCCTTTTGGAAGGAGGCGATTAGCTCAAATACAAGAGATTAAACGTGATGGGGAGTCTTTTTTGATACCATTGAAGTAAAATACTGGTTGATCCAGAATACTAAAGGTAACCATTTTCTTGTAACAATCAATACTGGCATGGTATGTAGAAAGCCAATCCATACCTAAGATTACATCAAAATCTTGAATTTCTGGGAGTATTAAATCAACCAACAATTTCTTTTCTTCTATCTTTATTACACAGGATTTGTACACTATATTGATGTCACTTGAATTTCCCATGGGTGTGGCTACCTCTAGAATGTATTCTAATTGTTCTGGTGCTACCTTTTAGTGGCATGCAAAGTGTGGTGACACAAATGAATGAGTAGATCTAGGATCAATCAAAACATGAGCTATTTTTTGGAAGATAATAAGAGTACCTTGGACCACTGATTTTGAGGCCTAAACATCTTACTGGGTGATCGCAAATACTCTTCCCTTCATCTGAGGCTTTTGAGCTATTTCTCTCTGTTTTGGAAGCTGTTGCATATGTAAGCTAGGACATTCTCTAATCTGGTGCCCCAATTTTCCACATTTAAAACAGACTCCAGTATTCCAATAACAAGGGCTCGATCCATGGTTTTTCCCACATTTTTTATATGGTTCTATTGGGCTTTGAAGTGGCAAGGGCCTTGGCTTCTTGTTTGCCCTTTGAAGCTGTTGTCGATTAGATGGTGTGGGTCTAACCTGACTTTTCTGATTTTTCATCTTTTGAAAATCTTCGAAATCTTTTTCGACAATTTGGGCTCGATCCACTATTTCAGCATAAGTTCTCAATTTTAAGACTTATTCTGCTTCTAATAGCTGGTCTGAGACCCCTTTCAAATGTCTTCACCTTTCTTGCCTCATTGTTAATTATATGTGGTGCAAACCTGACCAATTCAGTAAACTTGGCCTTACTGTCCGGTTTCCTTGGATTAATTCCAGAAATTCCATTTCTTTTTAGTCTCGAATAAAATCTGGGAAATACTTTTCATTAAATGCCTCTATAAATACTTCTCAAGTCAAGGATTTATTTTCTTTGACCAATACTCCTTTTGCCACTCGCCACCAATATTGTGTTTCACCTTCTAACATAAAAACTGCCAAGGCCACCTTCCTATCATCAGGACATTCCATTACCTCAAATATTTTCTCCAAATGCATAATCTATCCCTCGGCTTCCAATGGGTTTACAGCACCCTTAAAAGAATGTGGGTTCAACTTCTTAAATTGTCCGATATGACAACCACTATTTCTCGTAACTGACTGCCTCGGTGAATTGTTGTTTTCTATCTGATGTTTGCATTAGAGCAACCATATTTTCCAAAGTTTTATGAATTCCTTCTATATTAGCTTCAGTTATTTTGGATCTTGACTTCATCCTGGTCTGTACACACAACAAATGTGATTTTAAGTACATTCTTTTTAAATTTTCTAATAATCTTAAACCTGGCTCTGATATCATAATTGTCACGCCCCAATAATTTACAATACTGATATTCTTGAGATGTAACAATCAAAACATATATACATCTCTTGATAGGACAAATTTACAGTGGCTAATTCTTACAAGGTAACAAAAGAAAGTTTAAGCACAACTACAATAACTTCCAGAGTTGATCCTGACTAGCACTGAAAATGAAACCGCTTGCCTATTCAGTAAGTAATCATCATAATCCTAAAAATAATCATGGGTGAAAGACATCAATATTTTCAAAAAGGAGATCTATTAACAAAAATGCATTAACAGTTTCACTTTCAAAATGCATAATTAAGTATAATCCGAATAATTGAAATGCATATAACATTTTAACAACAGTGCATAATTCAAAGGATTTCACAAATTATCCTACTGGCATCCCAAGTAGGTCACCTATATACCCCATCAGCGTCCTGATGGGTCCACTTAATCTCTATCGGCATCCCAGATAGGTCCACTTAATACCTGCATGTCCACTTATACCTCACAGGCGTACCGGATGAGTCCACTTAATCCCTACCGGCGTACCGGATATGTCCACTTATACCTCACCGGCGAACCAGATAAGTCCACTTGCATTCTTTAAGTATTTCTAAATCTCTTTAAACATCCGAAAACAGCAATATTATGTACTCAACCTATCACTGAAATTATTAATATGAATTTCACTGAAACCATTAATAACAGTCACTTTCAATGACATTTCAAAAATAACCAGTCAAATATTTTGGGCTCAAATTTAGAATGGTAGTAGTTCGTAAAGACATTCTAGCATAATTGCCAATCTAATATGTATAGGAAAATTCCTTTAGAAATTCAAGAATACGGAATTATCACAATTTATGGGATGTTAATTTGCAAATAAACATTTAACAGACAATGCTTTAATCTATTGCAAAATATCAGTTTTCAAATAATAAGGCAGTCATTTGCACATGAAATTTACAATGTCTAAATATTAAAAAACAGTGGAAAGAAATCTCACAATTTTACTAAAAGCAGAAATATCACATTTATTTTTAATAATTTTACAGTATTTAAAATATTCTAACAATAGACAAGAAAAATAAATAAATTTACTTCTAAGAATTTACATCATTTAAAATTTCTAACATGGATAAAATATCACAATTTTATTAAAAAGATTATTTTTCAAAATAATGAGGTCGCTTGGGCATAAAATTTATCGTGCCTAAAATTCATGATAATAAGCAGAAGTAATTATTCCATTTCATTTTTAAAAAGAACGGGTTTTTTTTCAAGATAATGAAGTCACTTACCTAAAATATTTGAGAGGAAGCTTCCGATAAAAATTCGGCTAAAGAGAGAAAGAGCTTACTGCAATTTTACTGGAGAGAGAAAGAGCTCAAAAGTTTTCTAGGGTGAGAGTCCTCACCTCTCCTATTTAAATTCTTAAAATACCTTATTATAATATTTTATTAAGTTACACCTCATACATGAGGTGTAACAATTATATTACACATCAACATCCACTCAAGGACGGGGTAATGAAAGGAAAAAAAAAGTTAATAAAGTGGTGATGGTCTATAAGGACCATAATACTTATATGGACCATCACACTATAAAGAATTATTTATTTATTATATATATATATATATCTTTGAAAGTTTAGGATTGTTACAATTATTAACTGATCTTGAGATACCTATTGACACCTAACCTTATCAAGAGATATATACCCATATAATCAAGAGATATACATATTCTAACCCGCCATTTATAGAATTTTAAATTTTACATTTGGGGCAACCATAAATTTTCACATCATCACAAGGCTTTACGGCACCGAACACTACATTTACAGTATAATTTTGAGTCGCACGTTAATTCAATACTAGACACCTTATACAAACCTCACCCTTATATAAAAGATAAGAGCCAAAGTAGTTGTCTTGGTCCACCTATCCATCCAGAAAAATAAATTTATTCACTTTCTATTTCGATGTGCCCTTAAATTGTCAACGGCGAAACAAATGCAAAGAAAAACATAAGCAAATGGGCTGCCCCCTGTCTCTTTTATCCCTACTGTTTTCGAACATAACTTTCCTATAAAAGTGGGAAGGAGAGACCCTCTTTTTTCTCATTCTATTCAACTTTATCCTCATAAACCTGAGAAATAAATGTAGTGGAGAGACAGACAGAGAGAGAATCGCTCTCCCCTCTTTATATAGCAGAGCAGAGAGAAAAGATTGGTGTTGGCCTTTGTAAATTCTTCATTGATTCTTTCACTGAGATATCAGATTTCTTTCCAAAAAGAACTTGTGATTGCACTCAGTCGTTGTATCGTTACCTCTTCTAAGTTAACAAAGTGGAGAGAGCAGATTTTATAATGGAGAGGAGGGTTTGCACATATGTTTCTTTCCTCTGGGTTTTGGTTTTTCAAGCCATGTCCCCGACAGGTATGCACTCATGACCAGGATAGAAGGCATTTACGGTTGCCTTTCTCCTTCAATGCTCTCTATCTCTTTTCAAGATCAGAATCGTATCATATTTATCCAAATCTCTTCATTTAATCTTATCGTCCAGATTTTCTTTGTAGAATTCAGTTTTCATGTCCTTTTTGTGCATGTGCTCACATAGAGGCGCATACACACTCCCACACACAAAATGAGATTTTTAATTTTGATATAAGTAAGTGACAATCATTATTGAGATGTGAAATTGAGTGGCTAGAGGTGTTTCATCTTATAGCTAATAACTAAGATGATTGTCACAATCTTGTCACAAGAGGGAATGGGCTTCTAGCACAAAATCTTACACACAAACCCCATGAGAGTGTGTATGTGTTTGAGAGAGATGTTGCATGATTCTTTCACAGTGTTGGCGAAAATCTATGCTAGTTTGTGGCTCAAAAAAATTTCTTTCACAATGAGAGAGATGCTGCACAAATCTTTCATATAGAGATGTTGCAAAATTGTTTTCGAGATCTTAATAAAGTGAGAAAACTCTCTTTTTATCCTAGGAGCAAGTGTGGAAGGTGGAAGGAAGCACATGAACCCTTTCAATGACTCAGATTTCAGATTAAACATGGTCACATCCAGCAGTCGCAATAGGATTTTTTTATATTTTTGAAATAATATTTATTTAAAATTTAGGTTATAGATGAACTTTTATAGGATGACCCAATTTAAAACAATAAAGAATTAATTTAAGGATACTTTGAAAATAGTTTTTTTTTTTTTGTTATTGTTATCTCATGCAACATATAAACATACATTTATTTCCCAAATTTTGGATAAATATTATTTTTAAGTAAAAATAAAAATAAAAAATAAAATAGAAAACTTTGTTTGGGCCTTTAGATCACAACTAAGTTCAATCTCAAACAATGAATGGCGCTTGTGTACCCTTAAAACGTCCGCACGATGCGGACACCATCCCTTAGCATGCGGTCATGTGCGACTTAAGAGGATTTCTCTCGCTCCCTTTGATACATATGATAGCTAAAAATATTAGATGCTCCCGCTGGAGCACATTGTACATTCGCACAGCTAGGAATAAATAGGGAGTGGTGGCCAGTTTTCTTTTTCCTTTTTACAATGGGTTGGCATGGATTCTTAAAAGGGCCATAGTTGAAATTTTTTTTTGTTTGAAAATAATATTTATAAGAGATTTGGAATATAGTTTCATTTTTATAATTAGTATTGAATAAAATATTGCAAAATATTTTGAATGAGCAATATTGTTCAAAATAATTTAATATTTTGAATAAGCAATATTGTTCAAAATAAATTTAGGGGCATTTCGATTATTTTTTATTTATAACATTTTATAATCATTTTTATTTAGTCATATTAATAAAAGAAAAAATTTATATAAGGTACAACTTTATACTATATAAGTAAGGTGCACCTAAAAAACTCACTAGAGAAGGTTATTCATATGCTAGAAAACCCTCAAATCGATAATCTCAACCTTGAGATTCATAGACATTAAAAAAAAAGGATTTCTAATTCTAAAAAAATTTCATCTTCTAACAAACTATCTGGACCGACCACTTTCAAGATTTTCAATTATTTATAGATTTGCATGATCATTTATGGAACTTTTAAATTTCATAATTAGAGGTTGCAACATATTTACATATCATCACAAGATTTTGTGGCTCTACAATTACATTTTTGGCAGTGCACGTTACTTATAAAGTAACCTCGTATACAAACCTGACCCTTAATAAAAATACATCTACACTTTAAGATTCAAATACATATCTTATCTATATAAAAAAAAATTAAATATACAAAGACTAAATTTTGACCATTACATATGAAATCTTAACCATTAGAAGAACGAAAAAGTTTATATAGAGCCAAGGCTCTAAACAATCAAATTAGAGCCCACCTCAAAACTTTCACTAGAAAAGGTTATTTTGATGCTCAAATATCCTCAAATTGATCATCTCGAAATCAAGATGCATAGACATGAGAAAAAAATGGATTTCAAGTTTTGGAAATAGTGCATCTTGTAACATATTTTTCGGCCATCAATTTTCATGTTTTCATAGATCTGATCGATATACATTATTTTTAAAGCATTAAATTTTATAATTAAAGATGAAAATATATTTTAAGGTTATCACAAAGATTTTTAGCTTTGAAACTAGGGTTTTAAAAAACGCCGAGTCGAGTCGGACTCGCCCAGTTCGACCCGAGAATCGTCACAGAACGAGCCGGTTCCACACATAAAATAGGAACCGCCCGTGTTTAGAGAGAACCGGGCGGTTTTAAACAGTAAACCACCCGATGACATCATCAACCGGCGGTTCTGACGTCATCAACCGGCGGTTCTGACGTCACCACTCCGACACGTGCAACAAGCGGACACGTGCACACGGACACGAACACGTGCAACAAGCGGACACGTGCGACAAAATCACGTGTGAGATTGCCTCAATGTTTCCGTGCGAATACCTTAGTTCATATTACATATGTATTTATATACCAAAGTTGAATACACATCTTTCGATGTGGGATAATTCCCAAACATCATTAAACGAAAAATGGAATGTAAATATATTCTATTAATCAGCAACTGATAATCACATGCCGCGAGACAACGGGATGGTTATGACCTTTGTTACTTTACTTGACCTCCCAAGGTCGAATCCCCTTGGGCGTTTCATTTTAGTTGTATAGTAGTTTTCGTAAATAATATAAAAGGCATAAAAAAATGAAAAATAAAAAGTTAACTTTTTGTATAACAGTTAATTTTTATTGTATATAGTGGTATAATTATTTTTGTAAATAATATGAAAGGCATAAAAAAATAAAAAATAAAAAGTTTATTCTATTTGAAATCTCCATGTTTATACTAACAATATCTTTCACTAAATTTATTATAGAAACCTAAAAAAATAAATTTTCG